GTAGCAACAATGAAACATACAACTATCCTCTAGTTCCTAAATGCTTCCCCCCCCCCCCCCCACCCCCACTATCATGATCCCAATTCTACCTTACAAATCCAGCTAGACCAGAGGATGTACACTGGTACAGATAGGAACTGGAAACACAGGGAATCCAGGGTGGAAGATCCTTTCAGGACCAGTGGTGTGAGTGGCGATTCTGGGAGGGTGGAGGGAGGGTGAGTTGGAAAGGGGGAACCAATTACAAGTATCTACATATACCCTCCTCCCTGGGCGATGGACAAACAGAAAAGTGGGTGAAGGGAGATGTCAGGCAGTTCAAAATATGACAAAAATAATAATTTGTAAATTAACAAGGGTTCATGAGGGAAGGGGCAGCAGGGAGGGAGGGGAAAAATGAAGAGCTGATGCCAGGGGCTTGGGTGGAGAACGGATGTTTTGAGAATGATGAGGACAATGAATGTACAAATGTGCTTTACACAATTGATGTATGTATGAATTGTGATGAGTTGTATGAGCCCCTAATAAAATGATAAAAAACATAATAGGCTAAAAATATTGAAGGTAAGGAGCTTTGAACTTATACTGCCTAGGTCTGAATTCCAACTGCATGAGGGTGATCATTAATTTTTATTATGCCAAAATGGAGTTTTATTATGCCAAAATGAATGGAGTTTAGCATTTCAAGCAGGTTGCCACTTGATGACCTCCTTTGGATGTGCAACCAAGATAAACGGCTCTCTGAAGTCCAACCCCCACCACCCACCTCTCTCTCCCTTCACCATCCTGCTGGCAAGCCACTCTGAGACCTGCTAGAATCACCATCACTGGATTCACAAGACATTACACTCACCAGACTGTGATATTCTTACCTACAGCATATAATTGCATGTGGTTGGTGAGCCTGAACAGGGACTTATGGACTAGTATCAGACTTATGGACTTGACTTGGACTGGGCTGGCATGTTTTCCTGGTATACAATTAATTCTTGATATAAAGCTGTTTCTTACACATCTCTCAGGTATCAGGTATCAAAGACCCAGAACAAAAAATCATATCATTGTGAATGAGGGGGAGTGCAGAGTGGAGACCCAAAGCCCATGTATAGACAATTGGACATCCTCTTACAGAAGGGTCACAAGGAAGAGACGAGACAGTCAGAGTGCAGTATAGCACCAATGAAACATACAACTTTCCTCTAGTTCTTTAATGCTTCCTCCCCCTGCGCCCTCACTAGCATGACCCCAATTCTACCTTACAAATCCAGCTAGACCAGAGCATGTACACGGATACAGATAAGAGCTGAAAGCACAGGGAATCCAGGACAGATAAACCCCTCAGGACCAATATTGAGAGTAGCAATACCAGGAGGTCAAGGGGAGGGTAGGGGGGAAGAAGGGGAAACAATCACAATGATCCATATATAACCCCCTCCCAGGGGGACAGACAACAGAAAAGTGGGTGAAGGGAGACATCAGTCAGTATAAGACATGAAATAATAATGCGAATTTATAAATTATCAAAAGTTCATGAGGGAGGTAGTGGAGGGGAAGGGGAAAATGAGGAGCTGAAACCAAGGGCTCAAGTAGAAAGCAAATGTTTTGAGAATGATGATGGCAACAAATGTACAAATGTGCTTGACACATGGATGTACGCACGGATTATGATAAAAGTTGTCTGAGCCCCCAATAAAATTATTTTTTAAAAGAAAGAATGAACTATCTATCTCATAACACACAAGTAGTCCTGATGGGGTAGTGGGTTATACACTGAGGTGTTACCAGAAGGTCAACAGTATGAAACCACTAGCCATTCCTGCATAGAAATATGGAGCTGTCTCCTGTAAAGATTTTATTTGCAACCTCAGAAACCCAAAGGCAGTTCTACTCTGTCCTATGTAGCTCAGAGTGAGCAAATGAGTGAGTGAGTGAGTGAGTCCTTCAAAACACTGCTCTCAAAATTAAAATTAGAGTTATTCCAAAGAATAATAGCCATAGAGCAAAAACAGCTCTATTGAACAAGCTCATGTTACCCTCAACTCACGCCAAGGAAAACAAGCACAACTACCAAATGAGACAAAAGTCAAACCAAATGAGAATTACAATGAATCTCTCCAAAGCAAACAGCCATACAAAACAGTATTAGTAAACCATGTCACATTACCTCCTCTCACCCCAAGTAAAACAAAAGTAAACAAGGAAAACTACCGAGTTAAATAAAATGAACAAGTTAAACTGCAGAAAAACAAGACGCATCTACGCACAACATTTGGCGGGTTAGGTATAAGCTGCCTCTAAACTTGCTTCTGCTTTCGGTTGAGAGGCACTGCAATCTTTCATGGTTCCCCAGGCTGCAATGAGAGAAACTCCTTGAAAGCAAGACCCCTAAATCTATTCTTCTTTCAATTCCCTACTGAACCCAGAGATAGATAATTACATCTTCAGGAGTCTCTGGGTGGTGCAAATGATGAAAGGCTATAGGTTTGAAAACCCCCAAAGGCTCCTCTGAAGAAAAGCCTGGGAATGTACTCCCCAAAAGTCAACCACTGAAAACTATGGAATACAGTTCTACTCTGACGCACATTGCTAGCCATGAGTAGGCGCTGACTTGTGTGATTCCTTGTTGAAGGCCTGAGCCTCATTGTATTGTCAGAGATTACACAACCTCTGTAGCAAATACTTAGGGCCTCTCTGAGATGGGAGCTTGAAGCCATCTCCATTTTTTAGGCTCCTGGCATATTAAAAAGGAAGAAATACCAAATCAGAGTTACAAACCTTGTGGTTGCTTTTAAGTGTTTTAGATTTAAATAATTAGTCCCTTTCAAACACAACCAAACATAGTGCCTGTGTTGGAGAGATTATGCAAATATGCATTTGCATTTCTTAGTGAATGGAAAGGAGCCCTGGTGGCGTAGTGATCACTTGGGCTGTGATCCACAGCACACTGGGTCATCAGTTCAAGACAACCAGCTCCTCTGCAGGACACAGATGGGGCTTCCTGCTCCCATAAAGAGTGACGGGGTTCAGAAACCCACAGGGGCAGTTCTCCCCTGCCTACAGGGCAGCGAGGGGTAGGCACCAACTAGATAGATGGCAGTAGTTTTGTTTTTTTCAGGTAGTGTAAGACTTCAACACAAATCGTCCTCCTCACCCACCCCCAGGACCAGCTTTGAGGCTCGTGAGGCCCAGAGCTGAGAACATCAACATACCTTCGCATGGTCGTTGATCGACAGAGCAAAGGCGATGGGGAATCATTGGAGGCTCTGGAAGCAGGATGATATGAGGTGACCAGAGCAGGGGGGAGAATCAGTTCCTGCTCCTAGTTCAATTATGGAATTTCCGTATCTGCTGTTTAGCCAATTGGGGGCTCCGATCTTTCTCTGTTTAAAAATACCCACATGAAATGACGTCAAAGCAGACTTGCTGTATCTGTCTGCCTTTGGCCCAGGGGGTTTGCACTTGACTACCAGCCAACCAGCCCGGCATTCGAACCTACCCGGTGGCCCCACGAAGAAGGGCCAGGTGGTGGGTTTCCATAAAGGTTACAGCCAGGAAGTCGCTATAGAGCAGTTCTAGTCTGGAGCACATGGAGTTGTCACAGGCCCGCATTGTGGCAACAGGTTTAATTCTGGTATTCGGAAGGGACTCAACAGACTCACTCACTCCAAGCAATGAAAACAGCATTTATTTTAATTTGCTTTCATTGTGGCAGGGCGGGGGCGGGGGAACAGAGCGGGAATGTCCACACCTTCAAACACCTTTTCACGCTTATCTCCCAGAACATCATTATCCATATATCTACCCAGTGAGACCTGCTGAAGTTGAAACCTATGTAAACATGTCAGAAAGGGGAACTCAATGGGTTTTCACTAAAAGTGAGAGAAAAGTGACAAGCTGCCTCTTGTCAAAGGTAGAAGTCTTGGAAGACCCAGACAAGCCAGCCAGGCCCCTGGAGTCACAGCTCTCCCAGGCTGCACTCTATTTTGTTCCCTGCTTGCAGGCGGCAGCTGGTTGCTTTTTAAATCCAAGTGATCCAGATTAGATTTAAATCCAGAGTAGATGGTTTCCTTGTTGAAGGAAAGCATTGGGTCTTGCTCACTCACCCACAAGCAGAACTTAACTGCTGACAGCTAGCAGAGAAGACAGGCAAAATCGCCAAAGAAAGGAAATCCTCTTCAGCATCCTCTCCCACTGCCCCGCCCCCACCCCTGGGTCTCTCCTGGGGAGAGTGGCTCACCCAGGCCTGAAGCGGTGTGCTTAAAGATCGGGGCAGTGATTTCCAGTTCATCCTAAAAACTCCTGTTCTTCCTCTACTCCAGGAAAGCCTCTGTTCCTACTAACACAAAACCGCATCCTCGTGGCTGAGGACAAGGAGCAACATTGTCCTGATAGCTTCCTTGGTCCATTTCTTTCTACTGGCGACTCACTTACTCCCCAGAAAGGCATTATTTTTAAACTCGAATACTTAAGAATAGATTGGGGAAGTCCAGAGATCTAAACCACGTGTTCGGTGTTAATTCTTAGTATTTGGGCCACATCAACTACAAATCAGGCATAAAAGGAGGCAAGAACTCAAAATGGCACAGAACAAAAGATTCTCCCGGTTTGTTGTTTTTTGGATATGTAAGGGTGAGATTGCAACCAAATAGGCTATTTTGAATATTGAAACACACAGACACAGACAATGGGGAGGAAAGACTAAAATTTTATCTTAAGCCACCCACCCAAACAAAATATTTCTAAGTCTTAGTAGCAGCTCATTTCAATCCACGTCTGTAAATTCCACTGCACCAAACAAATACAAACTGTTTATTGAACTCAACCAAACCATTTACCTGAACACTTGAAGCAAAGTGTCTCCAGTCATCAGTAGTTCTTCTGTCTTTTGTATTCATTTTGTTCTTTTTTTATAGATAGGTAATTTTTTTTTAATGTTTTGATTATCCATTCTTCCTTGCCCTCACTCACTCACAAATTTCAAAAGCTCAGAGTTTTCTTACCTCCATTCTCTCCTCAAAGTGAATTCCAACTGAGTTCTCTTCCAGGAATTTACACTGTTTCCAGACTCCAGAAATGCAGAAGCTGCTGACCTCAAATTAAAAATGGCTAACTCCTGCTTGGAGGTGAGACCAATACCTTTCCCGTATAAAGTGGAGAAGATAAGCCTTCAGAATGCATGGATGAATTTATATTCAGGGAACACGCCCTTTGAACAGCCTACCCTCCTGCCCAATCATGGCACCATAGGGTAGTTTCAGATCAGACTCATCCTGTTGCCCCACCTCCCAGGCCAGTCATGTGCCACCTTCCGTGAGAACTGAAGTCAACAGCGATGAGTGTGCCTTGCCACCTCTCGTCTAAACCATCAAGACGATCAGAGGTAGCAGTAATACTGTGCACCACATTCTATCATTTCTAAGAAAATAAATCTTCCTAGCATATACTGCCTCAACTAAGGGACTCCTACCGGGGCCAGGAGTGAGAAAGGATGGTGTAAGAAAACTGTTGTGAAGTCAAGCAATAAACCTCCAAGCATTCAGAACATTGTCCTAATCATGTTACTGTGTGAAACAGACAAGCAGTGGGAGGGTGTTCCAAATGCTTGAGGTACCTACTGGGGAGCAAATATGGGCTGCCCCCTCAGAAAGTTAGTCACAGTTTGAAGAAACCAGGAGAACAGAAGACTGGGGATTTTCCATACCTCCCTGGTTACACAATCCGTGAGAATTGTTAGGATGACTCACGTATCTGACATGAAGAGTGGAAGCATGGAGAAGTACGTTAGCTTGAAACCAAAGCAAACCAACACACTGCCATCGAGTCAACGCCGGCCCTACAGGTGCCCCTACAGGTCAGGGTGCTTTGCCCCTGTGGGTTTCTAAGACTGTAACTCTTTTGACAGGAGTAGAAAGTCCCCTTCTTTCTTCCAGTCTGGCACCAGTGTGATGGAAAAGGAACCCGGGACACCAGGCCTCGGTGGGAAGGAAACATCTCAGTGGTTGTTGGCCTAAGGTGGGTACAAGGACCACAAGAGAGGAGCTTTCGTCTACAAGAGAGCTTCCCATTCTCTTGTAGCCCATCTTAACCCACCGCCCTAACGATGAGAGCATGAGTGTGTCCCTGGTCTTTCTAGATGCTGCTGCCAAGATGCAGGAAACCTACTGGAATCAAAGAAAGAACAGGAAGAATTACCATATATACTCGTGTATAAGCTGAGTTTTTCAGCACACTTGTTATGCAGTTTTTATGGTAAAACTAAGTGCCTCGGCTGATATTCGGGTCAGCTTATAATAGAGTATATACGGTACATAATGAATTCTAAGACACCTAGAGTCAGGACCCTTGGTATTAAACCCTGATATTTGCAACTATCGTAGCACAATTCTGTCCAGTCTCTTTCACCTTGCTATGAGTCATGTGGGAAATGGGTATAAGAAATTTATTCCTTGTATAAGTTAATATGGTATTATTTAAATACATTTTGCTTCCTAGAAAACATTCTTCTATCAATGTACTCAGTTGAGGGAAATCCCATAGACCCACATTTGGGTTTCATACTTTCAATTCCTAATGTTCTAAACATAATCCCCCCTACCCCTTTCCATCAACCTCCAACTTATTCCCCTTATATACAATTGTAAAATGTCTTAATGCCACTACACTCATTCATACACTTATTCATATTCACCAAGTTCAATGAATATCAACTGCGTTCAGGCATAGGTCTTCATATATAGAGATAAGAAGACAAATTTTCCCTCAAGGACCATACAATCTTAAAAGGAGATAAATCTAAATTATTATAAGCTTTAAGAGGTTCCTACAGAGTAAAATGAAAACAAAGAACAGCTTGTCTCTAACCAACAGTGCCGTCTTCATCCTGTCAATATACAAGGTCTAGTTCCCTTATGAATGTTAAATCCCATGGTAAAAAAAATAAAAATTAAAAATAAATAAAACTTTGCACCAATCTAGTGTTGGGCTGCTAGTTATAAAGGCAGCAGGTCAAAACCACCAGCCACTCTGAGCAGGAGAAAGATGAGGGTTTCTCCTCCCGTAAATACTTAGTCTCGGAAACACACACGGGCAGTTCTACTCTTCCCTATGGGTGCAATGCTCAGAATGCCCTCCGTGGCAGTGCGTGTGGTGTCTGCTTTTTATTTTTGGAGGAGAGGGAGGGGCGTCAGCAACTAATCTGTTTGTGAGTTTCTGCCTCTGACTGCACCTCCACAAACACCGAGCAGTCCCCGTGATCCGAGAGCAATGTCTCTCCAAGTGTGTCCTGTGGGACACAGAGTATCAGAGACAGCTGCACTAGTTAATGAAATACAGATTCCTGGGCCTTGTGCCATCTTCTAAACAATCAGTGGGAGCAGGCTCGGGATTCTGAAATTTTAAAGCACTTTTTATTGAGGATTCAGCATTCTTAAAAAGCACTCTCCATTTGACGTTTGTGTTTTCTAGAGCTTTGACAGAAACAATCCTAAGCTATGTGGAGACATCCAGACACTTGACTATTATTAGAGTGAAAGTTTACGTAGTAAGTCCATTTCCATCCAACAATTTAGACATGACATTGCTTGGTGACATTGTTTACAGTGCTCACCAAGCAGCAGAACTCCTCCCCCTTCCCTGCATCCCTCTTTTCTATGTACTCCTGCCTTCTGAAGTTCCTCCCCAAATGATGCTCTTTTGATCTCGTGTATTTGATTGTTCCGGAGGATTGTGTGCCTCCCTGGTGTCACTGCCCACTGTATAAACCTGCCATAATTAATGTTGTGTATGTGAAACCAACAGCCAGCATTATTCACAATGGAGAAAGCCCAAAAGCACTCTTTCTGTGAATGGAAACCAAACAAGAATGTCATACATGACACACCTATTAACATTGGATTGGAAGACTTTTGTAAACTAATAACTCACTTCCATCATGTCTCTGCCCACTCAGAGAGGCCCTAACTGACACGATAGAATGGCCCCTGTGAGTCTCTGAGACCAGCTTGTTACGGGGATAGAAAGCCCAGGTGATAGAATGGCAGGTGGTTTCGAACTTTGAACCTGGTCGATAGCATCCCAGTGGGTAACGACTAGCCACCAGGGCTCCTCCATTGGGGGTCTTAGCTATTGCAACAATTCGAGACAGGAAAAATTAAAGGCATCCAAATGGACCAGGAAGAAATAAAACTATCGCTCTTTGCTGATGATAGGAGCTGATATATAGAAACCCCAGAGACTCTGCAAGACAACTGCCGAAAATACTTGAAAGAGTCAACAAAGTGGCAGGGCACAAGATCAGCACACAAAACTCAGTCAGATTCCTTACAGCAAGGAAAACTCTGAAAAAATAATCAGGAAAATAATACCACTGAAATAAAACAATAAAAAGTAAAATACATGGGGAAAAAATTAATCAGAAATACAAAAGATGCAAACTAAGAACACTACAAGAAACTCAAAGAGACATACAAGTCTACACTGTGAAAATGTCCCTATTACCCAGTGATTGAAAAGTATACCATCCTGATCTAGATACCATCAGCATTCATCAAGCAAATGAAAAACAAATAATTAATTTTTTATGGAAAGACAATATATCCCAGATAAGCAAACACTACTGAAGAAGACGAAGAAGAATGGAAGTAGAAGGTCTTGTATTGCCCAATTTCAAAACCTACTCAACCGCTGTCATTATTGTTAGGTGCAGTCCAGTCAGTGCTGACATAGCAGCCCTACGTACAACACAAGGAACAAACTAATATTCAATTTTCACAACCAGTTTCATGTTTGAGCCCATTGTCATAGCCACTGGGTCAAGCCATCTCCTCAAGGGTCTTCCTCTTGTTCACTGACCTTCCACTTTAACAAGTATGATGTGTTTTTCCAGGGACTGGCCTCTCCTGACTACATGTCCAAGGTAGGTGAGACAAACTCTTGCCATCCTTGCTTCTATGGAGTATTCTAGCTCTAGCTCGTACAAGACAGATGTGCTTGTTCTCCTGGCAGTCCGTGATACTGTCAGTATTCTTTTTTTTTGGGGGGGGGGCTGGTTTTGTTTTTTTTTTAATCATTTTATTGGGAACTCGTAAAACTCTTATCACAATCCATACATACATCCATTGTGTCAAGCACATTTGTACATATGTTGCCATCATTGTTTTCAAAGCATTTTCTTTCTACTTGAGCCCTTGCTATCAGCTCTTCTTTTTTTTTTTTTTTCCTTTCTCTTTTTTAACATTTTATTAGGGGCTCATACAACTGTTATCCCAATCCATACACACATCAATTGTGTAAAGCGCATTTGTACATCGTTTCTCAAAACATTTTCTCTCCATTTAAACCCCCGACATTAGGTCCTCATTTTTCCCCTCCCTCCCCGCTCCCCCCTCCCGCATGAGCCCTTGATAGTTTATAAATGGGTATTTTGTCATATCTTGCCCTGTCCCACGTCTCCCTTCATCCACTTTTCGGGTGTCTGTCCCCCAGGGAGGAGGTCACACACAGTTCCATGTAATCGGTTTAACACCATCATTCAAGTGCATCCATTCTTCTTAGGTCTCTCTTATTCAGTGTCCAGCTTTCACAGGTCAATAGTCAAAATAGTTGGCACAATGGCAGATACACAATGCAATGAAACAGAATTAAGAACCTAGAATTAAATCAATCTATGGACAGCTGATCTTCAGCAAAGGGCTGAAATCCATTGAATGAGGAAAGGACAGTCTCTTTAACAAATAGTACTGGGAAAGCTGAATGGATATCTATTTTCAGAAAAATAAACAAGATTCATACCTCACGCCATTTACAAAAACTAACTCAAGATTGATCAAAGACCTAAGAGTAAAATCTAAACTGATATAAAAGGAAAAATAAAGGCAATCTTAGGGGGCCCTAATTTGTGGCATAGACTATCAGACATAACAAAAAATACACACAAACAGCAGATAATCTAGATGAATGGGACCTTCTGAAAGAATAGTATTTGTGTGCATTAAAAAAAATTTCTCCAAAATAGTAAAAAGAGATCTTATGGACTGAGAAATATATTCA